TCAGAACCGATAAGGGATATTCGATCGCATTATCCAAAGTATTTTGTGCTCCTATAATGTAGTAATCTTTTTCCATATGTATTTTTTCATTGTTTGTTACTCAGCATGATTTATTTCAGGTTCCTTTCCATTGAACATTTCTACATAAATGGACGAATGTACTGGACATTTTACCATTCAATGCACGAAACTGCTAAGTCTTCGTTCAGGATATATCTTTTCCGTCGATCCAGGAACCACTTTCGGTGGCATACACCTCACAATTCTTTCTCCCGTTCGAAACCACAGTAAGCGTGCATGCATTGATTAGATTTGTAGGTTCCCAAATATTCGGATTCCCAACTCCCGATGGTGTGTGCTTTGTGATACGTGAGAACAATCCAATGCGTACTATTGTCCCATTGCTCAAATCACTTGTTTCGTCACGTGTGTGCCGGGGACCAATCAAATCAAAATGTAAGCCGCACTGGCACGAACTGAGAAGAGCGAAATCTCTCGGACAATCGATTAATCAGGCGCTGTACCGAACTAATTCAACCGACGCTATCTGGGACAGGGATGATGCTTTTGCAGCGCTCAGCTTACGTGGTGTTTATGAGAATGCAAAACTGTCCGTTTATTTTAGTCGGGTCAGTGTGTCCAAATTAAGTTGTGCAATTTTATGCTGCTCTGTTTGTACAATTTCAAAAGGCCAGTTTCCTTCGCAGTTTTATTATGGTGAAGAAAATTCTCATCCCAGGAAGATACCATGGATTCCGGTATCATTCACTTGCATACAAATATTGGTAATCAAGGTCAATTAACAACAATAATAATATTAAGTTGATTGAAACAATAATAGTAACAAAAGTAAATTACAATATAGTGGTTAGATGAAAACATCAATTAGACCAATAATAACTTCCAGCCTCTCCCCCCTTCGCCCTGTCTTTATTAGAATTTCGATCAATGACCTGTTTTGGAATTCTTTTCACTGCTTTAGAATGCATTCTGTTAGGGAATGTTTTTCAAAAGCTTAAAGGACGTATCGCACGCCGCAAAAGAATCAGATTTTTAAGACGAGATGTACCGGTACACAACTGTTAATGATCATATATTTGCTACAGATTATTTCTATGGGACGTGTACATGAATAAGCGGTTATTCGGGTTGGAACTTCAAACCCGTACCCCTGAGCTGCACGGTTGACGGTTATCCCCATGTGCGAATGACTAATTTGGTTTAGAGTATTAAGTTTGGATTAGCCTATTTGATTATTCAGAGATACCAGACACTCTTGATGGTCTTGTGTGGGGGATTAACGATCTCCCAAGGGGTGAAACCCACACACAAAACCACCAAGAGTGCCTGATTTCTCTGAACAATCGAATGGGTTAATTCAAACTTGATACTCTAAATCGATTCATGGAATTTGATTATGGCGAGCCGGGTGCTCGATCGTGTCGTAGTTTAATGTTCATATATTATCGATTTTTAGCATTGCACATAAGTGTTAATTTGTCTCCTGGGAAATTGAGCCAGTCTAACTCGGTCGGATCAACCTTTGCATTTACTTGTCTCATCATATCATTTTGGAACCTGAAGATCTCTATCTTCGTAACATTTTAGGAATGGGTTCTGTCGTAAAACCGATGGAAATAAAAACAGGTTTGCAGTGGCATTAACTTACTGTAGACCCAACTGAATATTATGACCGGCAAACTAAATATCACATTTCCATTTCTTTAATAAATGCGTGCAGGATTTACTGTATCTGACCGTTAAACAAAGGAGCTCCAATGTGAATCTGGTTTGTCAAGCACCAGATAATATTTCACAATGTTTCGCCGTCCCGACCGAGTCACAGCTAAAAGTCACTTATGTTTTGGTACGTCCCCTTTTGACCTCACACGGCTTGTGTAATCATGCATACATAGATCAGCGTCGATCGAACAAAGGCAGTGTACAAAATGGATTTGTCCCGATTACTGAGCGTCAACAACAACACAGGTAAAGAACGGTTTACTCACATACACGTTCTATCTCTCTTTGAGCAGGACGCATCAAATTGGACGCTTGGCAAGCTATGCCAAACTTGAGATCGCCGATTGATGTATGCCTGGTAGACGGGAACTGTTTTGTGTGCAGTTATGACGAAATGAACCGTACCTATCAGGTAACGGATTGATTCTTATTCTGTTTGTTTTCGGTGCAGGAGAGTAAATGGGAATGCTTATCTGAATAGATGAATTCAAAATTGTTTGACCAATGTTTAGGTTTGTGAATACGAATTACTTGAAGCGTACTTATTAATCCACCCCCTCCTCCACCTCCAGGTAGAATGAAGCTACTGGCAGTTATTTTGGAAGTCCGAAACAACTTTGTGAAATTGGTCTGTGCTATATCACGTTCAGACAAAATGAAACATTCTGATCATCAATACCCCGGTAATCACACTGACGATGAATTTACGCTCTACCTGTGAGGTACCAGGTTGCACTAGATCAATCGGTTCGCGTTGTTCATCAAACGGAACGCTTCAGTTCATATTTCTATTTAATCTTTATTATACGACAAAGTATATCATACGGTTCAAACGAGCGCCGCGTAATTTCGTCGCAAAAGCAATTTCGATAGCCTACTTGCTGGTTATCTTAATCACGTGAGCAAGTTCATCAATCGCTTGAGACTGAACTGATGCCTAAATCGATCAATGTTTTTTTTTCATCCAGTTTGGCATTTGCCCGGTCTGTGGGGCAGATAAATAATGCGAGTCTGTTTCTTAAAAAGGGCAAACAAGCACCGGTGAACGAGCGATATTTTGGGGACAGACTGTCGGTTAGTTTTGTTCCCACTTTTGTCGTCAAACTGTGCTCCTCCTTTTTCAGCTGAGAAATACGGAAAGAAGACCATATTACTGTGCAATGCGAACCCATCGTTTATTCCCGTTGATCTCTAACGTAACAAAGCGCATAATATAGGCGAAACATGTATTTTCGCTGAATTTACTTTCCAGTCTTGAAAATCACATCGAATCACATTGTGTTCTCATTATATGCTCCGTGGGACTGTTTAAGCACAATCGCATTTGTATGAAACAAATTTTAGTGGGATGAAATAGATAAGTCATGAGTATGGTAATGAGTCAAAGAGAACTCTCGGACTTATTATCGCACACATGACTCATTCACTTATTTCTACATGACCCTACATATATATGTGATTGTAAAGGCTTGCAAATGAGTTCATCGAAAATTATATATTTATTTACATTGAAGGGTTCTCAGTCAGCGGACATATTCTGTGACGTGGAAACCCGATCCTTCAAAGTGGGATTACGTAGCCACAGTTTTGTAGCCGCTCGCATTTAAGTACATCAAATTCACCAAATCGGCAACCCTCTTATGTGTGCACTGGAACGGAGCTTGCAAACTTTCTCCCTTTCCTACCATTGATCATAAATTTTCATCTGATAGCAATGAGTTTGGTGCAGAGACACGAACGTCTATAATCATCCAAATGATATGATGATCATCTATCATCAATGTTTGAAAACCTCTTCAACAGTACAAAAAATGTGTTGACATAACTTCTTATTCAAGTTTTGCAACCCTGTACAAAACCTCCCAGTTCATTCTTTTTCCCCACTTTTCCGTTTTTGTGCACCCCCCCCCCCCCCCGCGCCTCACCGGCCGCCGCCCTGCTCGACGGTAATCAGATGTACACGAGCGATCAGCTCACCTATCCCGCGTACGTTTATCGTCTACCGGGACAAGTGACACTCTGCTCCACGACCAAGCACCTGATTGCCGTGCTGGACCAACAAAACCTCTCCATTCTGATGCGTCATTATGCACATTCCAATCCGATTGGTCGACTCAATGAGGTTGTTCCCCTTTTTTGTCAAACAAAAGTTTGCACCACATAATTCTCTTTTTTCGATTATAATTTTTTATTGAAATCACGATTAGGGTCGTCGGAGTGAAGTGGACAATATTTTCTAACAGACGAGTGTTACTCCCTAACGTCACACAAGCACACACAAGTAGGAACTGTTAAATTTCATAATTGATCATGGTTCTTACTAGCCACCAACGTTATCATTACTGATGAATAGCGCTAGATGATGGTTGTAATTTAGTTCAACCGCTTTAATCGTACTCACAGAGTACAGGATGTTTTTATTTAGCCTCAGAATATAATAAAAATAGGGCTGGGTTAACTATCCAATATTATAGATCTATACAGTAGCTAAACAAACGGTAAATCCGGAAAGGCGAAGCACATACAGCTTCAGTCGTCTGGGAATGGCGTTGAGCTGAGTGATATTAAAAGTTGAATGCCACCAAATAGGAGTGGTGGTGACAGAGATTGAGCCTTGAACATTGAGGATTGTTGCACTCAGAGCGATAGCAATCGAAACCATTCGAAGTTTTCCGTTATATGCAAATACTTAAGAGCACAATTACAAAAAATGTTGACAAAATTGAATTTATCCGTTTTTGTTTGTTTAAGTCTTCCTTTTCAACAAGATTACGTGTTTATTTATTTTAATCAAGTATTATCGTACCTGCTTACATTATCATGTCAGTACAATACACTGAAATATTTCTACACTCGTTTTTCGTTATTTTAAAATAAAACTTTGATTGTGTTTTTTGTATTGTATTCCTCAATTAAAGTAAAGTTCCTTCAGCTTGCGTGCGTCATCCAAACTTAGACATTAAAAAATTAGTGTTGTAATCAAATTTTACAAGGTAGAAATTTTATATATTTAAAAAAATAACTAGTGAAAAATGTCACCCATTGTATACAACACAGATGTTCTTTTTAGTTAGAGCAGCCCAACCAGAGTGGAATTTCTCCAAGGTTAATCTGAGCACGCCGCTTCTTGTGATAATTCCATACATTATCTACAACACACCATATCACTTCCCTCATGAGTAGACAAACGTGAGTACTTTTTGAGGACATCAGTGCACAAGGACTACTGATTACTTTCATACTTTACCCAAGCAGTCCAGTTTTCTTAGCTCCATGAATTTGCACGGTAAACTGGATGGAGAAGTACTTCAGTTGTTCCCACTAACCTGGCCACAAAAAGGAAGCGAACTGTGGAGTCTAAGACAAACTGTTCGAGATGTGTTGTACAGCATTTATCCGAGCTGGTCACAACAATCGCACAGTTCATTCAAAACAACAGTACATATGGAATCCATTTTACTGGCACTCAGAAGTCAAAGTGTCTCTTGGTCCAGTCTATCCGAACTGGAAGACCGTCTGCTTAGGATGGCTGGTCTGTTCATGTTGCACAACCAATTCGATTCGGAGCTCCGTGTCCCGTACAGTGACTTAAATCCGGATCAGCCTTCTGCGGGATCGCTTCCGCTCTGGGTCTTGATCACCAGCAAAGCGATCTATTTGACTCACTTCAAGTAAGCAACCACATCTGCTTTCGATGGGCCTCGATGTGAACAGTTGTGGAGTAAGATGATTTCCTTCTGTTTACGCACACATCATCTGTTGCGCCTTCTCATCATGAATGATCGATCCAATCGGATAATTCTTTTCACAAATGAAGATAGA